GTTTGGTGTGGAAATCCCAGAATCTGGATTGTGTTGCTCTTTCCAGATTTTACCAGTGACTCTAAGCTTCAGCTCTTTCCTGTCTCCGCCGGAGAAAAAGAGAGCCATGTTTCTTTGGATGATGAGACCGTCATTGCTGTCTCTTACTTTCCTGTGACTGTCTCTGATGCTTCTTGGAGTTCCTTCCCATGTTAGCTTCCTCCCGCTGCCTCCAACTTCTAAGCTATAGCTATAGCTCCGTGCGTCTTCCTCGTCCCCCATGAATCTCAGGAATGCCATGTATACCGGACCCATCCCTAGCTGGAACGCCTCAAAATGGAGGCAAAAGTATTGCCCAAAGCAATGAAAAACCTATACCCAAATAAGAAACTGTCAGCTTTAATGTAGAAAAACAATGAAGAAATCATTTATCCTTAGACAAACAAGGATGCTCACGGTTAGCATCCAAGTGGCGTTCTCTACTTCACGCGGATTGGATTTGACATAGCGGTGGTTAAAAGTGTGACCAGCATGCATGTCAACTTTGTGGTCATCCCTGAGATGCGCAACAAGGAAAGGGATGTCCCCTACTGTACCGCATTCTGAACCAGCGTAAGGGCAACTGTAAGGTCTGAAGTTACAGAGAGACTCATGCTTTAGTTTGCTGTAATAAGGAAATATCTCAGGGCATCCGAGATTGTAATACTTGCAAGGCAGCTCAAGCGACTCAGCTACTTTTTCAAGGGCTAAACATCTGATATCTCCAAGTTCTTGTCTACAGGTTGGACAACGGTTATGCACCCTCACTTTACAGGTCGAGCACAATGTGTGTCCATTATGACACTGCAACAACAACAACGAAACAAAAAGAAACACACTTTTTAGACTACCATAACTCTCAAGAACCTCCACCGGTTCAGTTTTAGTATACTAATGAGCAAGCACAATTATATCATATAACCAAGTGAATGCTCTAGATCAAGTTTTTTGCTTCCAAATTACTAGACAACATATATAATTGGTCCTTGACAAAGAAAACATGTTTATCAAAGTGAAGCAAATACGCAGAGAAAAACTCACGAATGACACTTTGAGATACAAAACATGGAACAGATAAAGCAAAATCAGCCACAATTTTCAACAATGTATGAGACCAAAACCACTTGAACAGGAATCAATAACCCAAATCAAACAACCAAATTCGACATTTACCTGATGGATAGGAGGATACATAGAATAGGTACAGACAGGGCACTCGAGAAGCTCGTAGACGCTAGTAGCCGGAGCGGTTGCCGTTGGACCGACTATATTAGTAACGACGGCGGCAGTGGCTCCGCCGTGAGTCTTGGTCGAAGAGAAGTGGTAAGTTCCGTTACGATGGATCTCATCGGTCTGAATGCTTCCGGTCGACGGGACGCACTCCATACTATCCGTCTCCATTACCTCAATCAAATTCAAATATCGAAAAACAACAAAAAGCCCTAAATTCAAAACAAATTAGGTCAAATCCTCTTCCGATTCTCTTTTTTTTTTTCTTCTCTAGAACTTCACTTCTCGGAAAAGGAAACTCGTTTCTTTCACGCCGATCAACAGGGAGAAGAAAACAAAAAGCGAAACAGTAGTTTGCTTCCTTACCACTTTTGGGTATCTTTGAGAATGGATTTGATAGACAAATCTGGAAACACGAGAAAGAGGAAAGGGAAAGAAAAAACACTGAAGATTTTCAGGGAAATAGAATAGGCCCTGACTCTGATTCTCTCTCTCGTCACCGTTTCTGGGAAAGCGTTGCTTTTTTCTTTGATCTCTGAAACTGAGAGAGAAAATAAGAGATGAAATCTGAGCCGTTCAGATGCGAAGGCTTCCTTTTATTCGAATTTGAATCTGACGGTTATCGCTATAACCCAACCAATTGGATCAAACCGTGGTTCGCTAATGTTCTCCAAAACGTCGTCAATGGCACACCAGAAAACATATAGTATATATAAAATATTATTGGAGATGTACGCAAGTGGTTCTATGGTCTAGCGGTTAGGACATTGGACTCTGAATCCAGTAACCCGAGTTCAATTCTCGGTAGAACCTTCTTTTTTCCAATATCTTTTCCCTTAATCTAATGCAAATAAAAAACAATATAACTAAATCAAACAGGTCGCCATTTCTTATTTGTGCGTCACGACTTC